AAAAGAAAGTTGTGATATAGGAATTGCAGTAGGGAAGTTTAGTGCCAAGCACACCAATTGAACAATGGAAGAGCCAGAGTAGGGAAACATGATCTCCAAACTTGAACAATGATATCGGGTTCGGAGGAAATGAATTTGTGGGGATGATTTTCCCTCCTGGAGAGTCCAATTTCCTTGCAAATAATCATCTTAAAAGGCGCTATATCACCCAAAAGTCCAGGTCCTGTTATTTTAGCATAGTTGTTTACTTTTCTTCGAGTGAGTTGGTAGTTGCAGGTTATGAAGTTTGTTTTGGATTGTGATTGAGGTTAGAATGAGGATTTGAGGCTATATTGCTTTGTCCCAATGAAGTCGTGGAGCACAGTCAAGGTGAAAAGTCCGGAGTAACTAAGAACTGATATGTCGTACTGTTGTTTCTTTAAAGAGTGTGCCTTGCACAATTAATTTGAGAAGTAGGGAGGGTTAGCGGAAAAGTGAGGGATAACTAATTCCAGTTTCCTGTCTGTTTAACTATATGTAACCTGACATGCAGGGATCCTCACCAAATCGTTAATCTTGATTAGTGATTAATCATTTATACCCCATGCTCCCCTAATGTAGTTTCCTTTGTGTTTTATAATGGCAAGTCTAGGAAAGATATCTGTGGAAGTGTTATGTGCCTTATTTGGCATCTCTTTGTGCTCCATCCATCTAAGTGATGAATTTGAGCTGTAGTATTTAGCACTTGGAAACTGGTGTTTCAAGCATGTATATACTAAGCCTTTTCTTAATGGAATCATATGGAAAAGCCTTCTGTCATTAATTTTCACTATCCAAACTTCCAAAGCCTTCCATCCATCATTTATATAACTAAATAAATTTCATTTTAATGTTTTTATTGCAAATTATTTTGTTATTTTGCTGAAAATAATTAATTAATTGTAATATAATATTGAGCTTTTCTCTTATACTTTTCAAGGGGGGATTGCAGCGACCTCATGAGTCTCTCCCACATTCCTTGACTTAATTCATGTATTTAGTCATGTGATCGATCAGCTTATTCTGGGTTTCAATCCAGCCTTGCCATATGTATAGCTAAACCTGTAAACCACAATATAACATAAAGTTCCTTCCACTTTTGTCTAAATGTTTTGTTCCTTTGTTACACCCTATCACATAACTGAGCACCAGCCTTGATTCACCTACTGATGTTGATGTATGTTGTTCTTATGTTTAGCAATATCTGGAGGGTGTCTCCTCACGGTTCACAACATGATGTCAGGGAGGGTAAGCTCGCAAAGGCAGAAGCCTCAAATGCTACTAGAGAATGCCCCCAAATAATGTGATTCCAACTGCGGGCACTCCACATGCAATCTCAAAAGAAAGCATGAACAAATCATGAATAATGAAGTTTAATATTTCATGTTCCAATTGGTGGGTAATTTTAGTTTTTTTTCTATATTTTTATTAGCAAGAATGGTCCTACACCCACTGGATAGATTAGTGGTTGGTAGAAGGATGCTTAATTAGATGTGTTTGGTTGTGATTAACCTTTTTATTAATGGATTTAGACTTGTATTTTTATTTCAGTACTAAATTTATTAGGGGTGTATATCAGGTTCCTTTTGCATCATTAGATGTGTTTCATGTTTTATGATGCATACCTGTAATGAGAGGCTTTATGTTGAATGAATTTTGGGTGTCCATGTTCTGTGATTGATATCATCTATTTTGTGCATATATAAGAGTTTGGTTCTTGATTTCATAATCTATGTCGTGTTGGTTTTACTGTATGAGATAGAATTCTTCTGCGAATTCCCCTGAAGTTAAAGAGCGTAGATACAGTAGGTTTGAGGAATACATGGTACGTAGCTCTTTTTTATAGTCCATTATGTCACCTCCCATTTTCCATGACCCATTTTAATTTCCTTTCTTCATGAAATACGAGTTGGTAATAGGCCATTTTGGTATTCGGCTACCTTGTGAGATGCAGTGTCAACTCATCCATTTCATTACCCTTTCTTTCATTACCTATCTGTTTCAAGCGTACTATATCCATTGTGAACTCTGAAAGAAGTTATGATATATCTAATATGTGCATGCCACAGGTTGGTTTTTTATTTTGTATTTCTATTCATCATGTTGGTTTTACAGTATTAGGTAGAATTCTGCTAGGCCTGGTATGCCTACTAGCCATTATGGAAATTGAACTCTCTAATACATTTACTTTCTTATGGTACAAGTTTTATCTTTTATTCATGTCAAATATCATAGTCAAATGTGCTTAGAAATAAATGGATTTTTAATTGGTTTTCTAATTGTTAAGATTGATTGTGAATATATTATGGGAAGCAACTCCCATGTCTTTCTTCACTGACTACATAGATAGCCCTTCTGAATATGTCATTCTTTTAAATCCTGCCTACATAGCAATAATATATATTATGAGGTCGACTGTTTAGGCATCTTGGCTTTCGTATGTTCACTGCAGGTTTTAAGTAGTAGCATCTCCTTACCAAGATTTAATTTAAAATATACCCTCTACCGGCCAACGGGCCGGGCTTCGAATGAAATTAATGTTATCCCATCAGTTACAATTGGCCAACTCAATGACTTGAGATAATGAGATAGAGAACAGGTGAGCTCAGACCCATTTTTCTTAGATGCTTATAATCTTTTTGTGCATAACCATGTATTGAAAATCCTGTTTTGTCATGATTTTTTTGGTGTCTGTTAGCATAAAACCATTGAACTCCTTTGCAATGTTAATATTATGAGGCCGCATCCAGATTGGATATGTTATTATGTATTTTTCCCTCCGCTTATCACTCTTTCCCAGTTACAATTATATAGATTTAGTGCATTTGAATTTTCGAACTTCCAAGTGATTATGTTTTTTACAAATTGAATCTTTTCCTACTAACTTGGAGTTACTTTAAAAATACAGACGGTTTTAAAAGTTAAAACAAGCCAATTTTAATTTATCAACAATATATTTTTATACATGAATTTTTTCGTGAGTGGTGACTTCCTCAAATATTCAATTGGATAGACACATGTCCATGGATAATTTACAAATTTGGTTGAATTTCTCTCGACGTAAAATTTCATATTAATCAGCCACTTTGATCACCAACTACTGGAGCGACATGTGTATGAGTTCGAGAACTTTGTATTCAATCTAACTAAACGGGACTACGAATCAATAGGGAATGTGTTGATGCTAGAGTTCACCAAAGAAATTACTAAGGGGTCGTTTGGATGAGAGATTGTGGCAGGATTGTAGTGCAGGATTTTAAAACAATCCCACACAGTGAGGGATTTTAATCAAATAACACGTTTGGGTAGAGCTGGGATTGTGATCATTAGAAATTTCAAAAACCCACATATATGAGATTTCAAAATAGCTGATGGAGGTCAGCTATTTCTAAATCTCTCATTTTTTTTTATCTTGTTCCAACTTGGCCCTTCCTCGTTCTCCTTCAACCTTCAACCACTACCCAGCAAACTTCACCCATCGTTCTCCGTAGAGGAGTTCGATTTTGCCGGTGAAACTTCCTTTTCCTGAACTCTTCCCCTAACCCCAATTATGGGTTTTGTTCGCTCGTTCTTGGTTTGGGATCCATTAGTCATTGAATTAGACTGGAGAATCGGCTATGCAGAGATTGGATCGGGGTGTAGAATAAGAAGAATCAGGGTTCGCTCGGCGATGTCGAAACCTAGAACAAGCTTCTAGCCATTTCCACCGATTCCACCTAGAATTGGCTCTCCAGAAATTGGATCGTATCACCCTTCTCACCATTTCCATCGACCTCACCATTTTTAACATATTAATGGTTGTAAATTCTGGGTTTTGTTCGTCGTTCCCTAAACCCCAAATTTGGGTTTTGTTCGGTGTCTCACGTCCTCCCCCTCTCTGCCCTCGATTCCCAGCTCTTCCTCTGCTTCACCGTTCGCATTCAAGCTGTCGCCGCCTCCCCACCAGAATGTTGACATCGCCAATTTAATTAAGTCCGCGCTGAGCAAGTGCTGATTCGCTTATTCTAGGTTTCGCCATCACTAAATGTGGGTGTAGAATCATGGTTCTTGACCAGTGATCTTGTTTCTGGGTTGTGCGTTTTGTTTGGCCGCTTCTTCTCCTTGATCTCCTCCAGCGTCACCATCATTCGCCAACGACGTCGGCGCCGCTTCTTCTCCTTCATCTCCTGCCGTTGTTGCTTATTTGAAGAAGACGAACAAATTGAGTAAGAGAAGAGGTCAAAATTGTATTTATGCTCTCTCTGTTAAAAATTCTTGTTAGCTTCCAAACGAGTTAATTTGGACAAATCCTGCTTATGAATTTCCTGGTATTTTAAACGAGTGATTTCTAATCAAATCTCTCACAAATCCCTCATTTTAAAAACTCTCATCCAAACCACCCCTAAATGGTATCTAGATAACGTAGAAAAAGTGATTAGAGTCACCAATTCACTCATAGCTACCTCCGGCCAACGGGCCAGGGCCCACACTAGTGTATTGTAATACACGTAATGCACCCCAATTTCCATATATTGCGTTTGAAGAAGCAGCGAACAATTCTCATCAAAATCAAATCCCAGCTTTCTGTATCCATATCCTTTTGGTCTTTGTTGCTTCTCTTTCTTGCAAAGTTAATCTCCATCTGGATTTGTTTGCACCGAACAATGTTCTTGATCAACTAATCAATTTTCTAGGGACGAGAGGATGAGTAAGGTTTACGTAATTTAGCACCACCGATTTGAAAATGATATTCTGTTGGCCGACCTTGGATTTCATTAGCAGCTAGAGAACAAAGACCATCTGGGCCGAGGTCAATAAGTCAGCGGTCAACCCATCAGGAGACTGAACCAGCTGAAGACTCAAGAGTCAAGACCACCACAACCCAGAATTTCTAACCTCTGAAACTCCGCCATTAAAGCCCAACCTCCACCACATCTGTACTGTCAATCATTAAACACTAACAATCTAACATCACCACTGAAGGAAGGAACAGTCAGTCGCCAATGGCGTCCAAGACCCTCTTCGCCTTCCTCTTCGCTTCCTTCCTCCTCCTCTCCATCCCTCCCCCTTCCACCTCGCAAAACCACCTCACTTCCTTCTCCATCTCCGACTCTCCATGGCGCCCCTCCTCCAACAAACTCCTCCTCTCTCCCAACTCCACTTTCGCCGCCGGTTTCCTCCCTCTCCCCGCTTCTCCCAACCTCTACTCCTTCTCCATCTGGTACAACAACAACAACTTCTCCGGCGGCACAGAAAATCCATCCACCGTCGTCGTCTGGTCCGCCACCTGGGCCAATTCCTCCCCTCCGCTCACCGCCAACGCTTCCCTCTCCATCACCAACTCCGGCCGCCTCGTCCTCGTCAGCAGCGGCGGCGCTTCCCCCTCCAACCTATGGCCTGGCGCTCCCTCGTCGGGCTCCAATTCCAACTCTTCCACGAGCCTGATTTTGAGCGAGGATGGGAACCTCGCTTTCGGGGATTTTTGGAGCAGCTTCCTCCATCCCACGGACACTTTCTTGCCCGGGCAAAGCATCAACGGAACTTCAATTCGCTCAAGGAACGGGAAATTCAGCTTCTCGGATTCCACCTCTCTGTTTTTCAACACCTCGGAGCAGTACTGGAAAATCGACGACGCTCTATCTCAGCTCAGCCCCGACGGAACCGTGCCCAAGGCGAGCGGCGACAAGGTCTACTGTGCGGATTACGGGTCGAACCGGACCCGGAGGTTGAAGCTCGACGACGACGGGAACTTGAGGATCTACAGCTTCGATCCGGTTGAGCGCCGCTGGTTCGTCGCGTGGCAGGCTATCCAAGAGCCTTGTAGAGTGAAGGGGATTTGCGGCGAGAACGCCATATGTACCACAACCAACGACGGCTCCGATTCCACTTCCTGCGTGTGCGCGCCGGGATTCGCGGCGGTGGGGGGATCGAGCAGTTGCCGGAGGAAGAGGAAGATCGAGTTAGGGGGAAGCGATTTCAAGTTCCTCCGCCTCGACTACGTGAATTTCAGCGGCGGGACGAACGGGAGCCTTCTCGACGCTCCGAATTTCGGTGCGTGCAGGGCGAATTGCTCTGCAATGCCCAGCTGCCTAGGTTTTCTGTTCAAGTACGACGGCTCCGGCTACTGCTTCCTCCACCTCGGCAGGCTGCTCGACGGGCTGTGGTCGCCGGGCACGGAAGCCGCCATGTATTTGAAAGTCCACGCTTCCGAAACCGACGCCGCCTCGAATTTCACCGTACTGATGGATGTGCTTCCGACGACTTGCTCCGTTCGGATCGGCCTGCCGATTCCGCCGGAGGAGTCCAATTCGACCGCCAGAAACGTCGCGATCATCTGCACGCTGTTCGCGGCGGAGCTGATTTCAGGGGCGGTGTTTCTGTGGGTGTTTCTGAGGAAGTTTATCAAGTATCGAGACATGGCTCAAACCCTAGGCCTGGAGCTGCTCCCCGCCGGCGGACCCAGGAGGTTCACTTACGCGGAGCTGAAATTAGCCACCGGCGATTTCTCCAAGGCGATCGGGAGAGGCGGGTTCGGGGACGTGTACAGAGGGGAGCTGCCGGACAAGCGAGTGGTGGCGGTGAAGTGCTTGAAGAACGTCGCCGGCGGCGACGCCGAGTTCTGGGCGGAGGTCACGATCATCGCCAGGATGCATCATCTCAATTTGGTGAGGCTGTGGGGTTTTTGTGCGGAGAAAGGGCAGAGGATTCTGGTCTACGAATACGTCCCCAATGGGTCGTTGGACCGGTACCTATTCCCGGCCGGTCGGACCTTGGCTTCACTGGATGTCGAACCGGACCCGAACGGTCCGACCGTGATCGATGGGAAGAAACCCATGTTGGACTGGGGGGTCAGGTACAGAATCGCTCTCGGCGTCGCGAGATCGATCGCGTACCTGCACGAGGAGTGCCTGGAGTGGGTCCTCCACTGCGACATCAAGCCCGAGAACATCCTGCTGGGAGAGGATTTCTGCCCAAAGATCTCGGACTTCGGGCTGGCCAAGCTGAGGAAGAAAGAGGACATGGTGAGCATGTCGAGGATTCGAGGCACGAGAGGGTACATGGCGCCCGAGTGGATCAAGAGCGACCCGATCACTCCGAAGGCCGACGTGTACAGCTTCGGGATGGTGCTGCTGGAGATCGTGACCGGGAGCCGGAACTTCGAGATGCAAGGGTCGTTGATGGATAGCGAGGATTGGTATTTCCCGAGGTGGGCGTTTGAGAAGGTGTTCAAAGAGAGCAAAGTGGAGGACATATTGGATAGGCAGGTGAAACATTGTTATGATAAAAAGGTGCACTTCGAGATGGTGGATCGAATGGTGAAGACGGCGATGTGGTGCCTTCAAGATAAGCCAGAGATGAGACCGTCGATGGGGAAAGTGGCTAAGATGTTGGAAGGGACAGTGGAGATTATCGAGCCTACGAAACCCACCATCTTTTTCTTGCAAGAATAATTGAGATTTCTCGAGTCCATAAGTAACATAGCTAATTTTTTCTTGCGCTGGAGCCCATATTTCTTATCATATTGGCGGTTCAATCATGAAAGTCTCTTATCGGAGTCTAAACTGATTCACGGTTTTTAGTGATATGAAACAGTTCAGTCACGATTAAACCACACATGTTTAGAATAAAACACTACTACTAACTTTTTTGGTATATCCTCTTATACGGTTTTACAAAGCAAACATCGATCTAGTTTGTTAGGGAAGAGAGTTCTAATGCACCTCCCTTTCACCATTTCATATCAACATTAACATTTCTCGACATCAAAAGTTGTACCACTAACTACACAAAATCACAATACACGAAACAATATTTATATGACAATATGTGTGATTGGACAACTATTCCATACGGGGGACAAGAACATACGACCTCACCTTAGAGATAGACTGTACATACTACTAAAAGGATTGTGACAAAGGGAGGAAAAAACCACTATAGGATTCAATTATGAAATCTCGATGTTAAAAACCAACGATGATATTTGCCAAACTGAGCCTTAATTTGCATTGAGTACACACTTTTAATATTTTACCAATCATGAAAGGCATGAACCAAAACCACATGTGTTTAAAAGTTACAAATCTGGTTGAGATTTCAATTTGTGTAATACTTTACCATAAGAAAAACAAATTTGTGCAATGTTTGACCAGGGTTGTTTTGTTGATGGGTTTTGGTGGTGTATTGTTTTCCCAAATACATAAGTAAACTAATTGACTCATTTTTTCTTGAACAAGCAAATCGATTGACTCATAATAATTTATTTGTGAATATTTTAAAGGGTAAATACAATATATTAGCCAAACCTTTTGCGGTTAAACAAAAGAACAACCAAACCTTTCAAAAAACTAAATAATAGCCAAACCGTTAACTTTCCATCTGGTCAACTGTTAGTTGACTCTTGTGTGGCTAATTCGTGCTGACGTGGCAATAACAATTATTTAACTGTGCCACACATACATATTTTAAACTAATTATTTATTATTAAAACAAATAAAAAGACAATAATGGAACACTCTCCATCCCTTCCCCTCTCCTCCCCTCTCTCTTCTCCGGCCAAGAAACTTCGAAACCCTCGATATCTCCCAAACTTTTTCATTAGCAGCAACCACCTCGTCGTCCGAGAACCTCCGCTTCCTCCCGTCATGCTTTCACCTACCTCCTTCCATGGAAACAAGCAAAGATTCGAAACTCCAGTTCGATCCGTCGTTCTTAAATGACGTCGCCGACGATTGCTATAGCGATTAAGCAGTTTGGATTTGGGGAATCGAAAGCGAGGAAGAGCGAGGGGAAGGAAAGGGATAACAGAGGAAGAGCCACAGGGAATTTGGAAGCGAAGAAGAGTAGGGGATTTGGGGAATTGGATTTGGGCAATATATTGATTGGATTTAGCTTTTGATTCTCTTAGTTTGGGACATAGATAAATGGGGTTCAGTTTAATTTGTTTAGATTTGGATGGTGTGGAGGGGAGCGGCGGCAACAGGAGTGGAGTTGATTTGGGATTCTCAAAGTGGATTGAGTCTGTTCAAGGCAACCCAGGTTTGCTGGGGATTTCTATTTTCATTCTCTTCGTATTGTTGAAAGGTGAGAAAGATGTAAGCTCGTTTGTGGAATCGAAGCAAGCGTTGCACGTTTGGCGATTCTATGTAGCGTTCGAGTAATTGTCAGCAATAGCTTGTTGGCTTGGGTGGTAGGTGCCGACAACAACGTAGGGATTAGGTAACGGCGGCGAGGCTTTTGGTTCTACGGTGGGCAACGATGGCTGGGGTTCGTCGGAGGATTGGAAATGGAAGCATGGAGTTTCGATGGAGATTGGAGAGAAGGGGATGCGAACAGGCAAGGAGATAATAGAGTGGTGGCTATTTTTTAGTGGCTTTTTAATTTATTTTCTTTTCTAAACAGAAATTAATTTTTGGTATATCCATGTGGCAAGTCAAATTTTTTACTTTCCGCCACGTCATTGAAAATTTATTAAACATTTTGCCACGTCAGAGTCAATTAACTGTTGACCGGACGGAAAGTTGACGGTTTGGCTATTAAATTGTTTTTGAAAAGGTTTGGCTAGTATTTTGTTTAAAATGAAAGGTTTGGCTATTAAATTGTATTATGGATAACTATTTGAATACCGTTTTTAATTTTTATATTTTAATTTTATGATTATAATAATGAATCAGACCAGTCAAATCAAAGTGGTTTGATTTTATATCTAATCGTTAAAAGCCGCTCGTCCATACCTAACTGTCCAAGCAAATGAACCGATCGTAACAAATTTGGTGATTTCTCCGGTCGAGCCGGTGGTCCAATCCGGTTATGATAACAAGGGTTTCCCCTAAGCAGCCGGATCGGAGTTTTGACTTCTAATGCGAGGGAATGGATTAAGGATGAAGTTGTCACTCAGAAGTTAACTGAGAACGGGAAAGAAAATAACGTTTTAGCAGCGTAGTCGTTAGTTGAGAGTGGTTGAGTACCTTCTCCGTTTCCTCTCATCTCTGTCATTTGTGGAGTTGGGGGGCGGGTGAGCTTGAGTTGGAGATAGTTGAGTATGACTCATTTTGACTTGGGTTCTCTGGCACGCTCTATCTAACAAATTTCTAGGGTTGTTGCTTCTTCAGCTCCACTTCCCTCTGGTTTCCCCAGCAGAAATGTTGTTAATTCATTTCTTCACCACGACCTCATTTCTCCATTGTTGAATTGGTTGGTTCCTGACTTCCTTTCATCGTTCCCAGGTAATGCTTTTTTGATTCATTCCGCTCACTAACTCACTTCCCTCCCCTCGCCGGCCGCGCTATTTTACTTTGCTATGCGTTCCAGATCTGGGAATGCGCGATATTTTGCTGTAGTGAACTGCATTGATCAGATCGATTGAGCTACTTTTTTGCTTTTGTGTTTGGTAGCTCAAAGAGGGCGGTTGGTACCCTTGGGGCATTTCTGGGTGGAGATGGATAGCTACAGTAACAACAATGGCGGGCAGCGCTTCCGTAAAATACCTCATCAGTCTCTTGCTCATATCAGAATGGAGCCCCTGGTAAGTCCTTGCGAATCTTTCATGTTTCTGGTACTAATAATAATGCTATTAGTTTTTAAATATGGAGAGAATATCATGAATTTTGTTAAATTTGGACTAAACCCACTGCTCTTAGTCATTTTCCGATAACAACAAAATTCTTCACCTTTGCTAGTGAATGGTGTTGTAGCATTGAACATCTCCTTTCCCGTTTCGGGATTTGGTAGTTTACGGTTTCAATTATATTGGGTCTAACTGTAAGTTTCTTGTTGTTTTTAGTTTGACTAGGCGTGCTTAAACCTTGGTTTATGCTTATTGTGATACGTCTGATTGCTCACTCGAACTCGATATGGAATGCCTGACATCTGTGTTTACCTTCTTTTCCAGCTTGACGACAACCTGGAGCAATGGCCGCATCTTAATGAACTGGTTCAATGCTATAAGACTGACTGGGTGAAGGATGAACACAAGTATGGACACTACGAAAGTGTTGCCCATGTATCTTTCCAAAGCCAAATTTTTGAAGGCCCTGATACTGATATTGAGACTGGTAAGTGTGAGCAAGAATTGCTAGAGCCCTTTGAAACCAATTTGTGCGACATTAGTTTTCTTTCTAGACATGAACATCAACTTGACCGTTGTCAACACGCATAGAATATTACTCAACTGACTCGAAGAATTACAGCAGGACAATTTTTCTGTTTATGATTATTTGTCATGGACATCCGTACGAAATTTATGCGATGAGTTAGCAGCGCTTGTATGTGTACATTGCAATCCTATCAGCTTCATGGAATGCGTCGGTAGCCACATAAGACTAGGGTTTCCTATTGTTTTGTTAGTCCGGATTGGGAGTATTAGTTCCTATTGGCTGGAATCATTACAAGGCTTCAGCTAGCTGCTTCAGGTGGAGCGGCCAATGAATAAATGGCGGCGATTCTTCCCAGTGGACTTCTATGGAAATATGTGATAGCTAAGCAATCCTACTAGTGATAAATGGATCTATATGTGTTTTTCTTTTCCTTTATTTTTTATATTTTCTCTGAGAGCTGGGTTTGTTTTCAGAGCCTTGATATAGCCATCCAACTATATTCACCAACTATAATATTGTATTAGAGGACTTTCCAGAGCGAAATGTATCACTGGTAATCTTGAAGAAGGATCTTTGTTAGCTTTATGAATAAAGTTAATGCTAAAGGAAATTCATATGAATTGCACCTGCAATCGTAAGTCGTAACTATTCCCCTTGAGAAGCTTCTTAGGAAGAGAGTTTTTAATAGAATACGAATTTGCACCTGGCATGGTAACTATTCCCCTTGAGAAGCTTCTTAGGAAGAGATGTTTAACTAGAGTACTATCCAAATGTAGCCTTTTGGCAAATGGTTTTGGTTAGTAACTGTTTACTGTTTGCAGACGATGTTTGCAATTATGTAATGTGCAAATTTGATGCTATCAGGTTATGCAGAATGTTTTTGTTAGAGAATCAGGCTCTGTGGATATATATTTATTTTTGTGAATGATGAGTTATTACTAAAGGCATTCTCCCCAAAGTATAGTAATTAAGTTTCAGTGGCATGTTAAAAATGCAAAATTGCAACTCTTCACCTAAAGAGGTGATTTTTTCCCTTGACGTTTACATTGAACTTATGTGTTGCATATTTTGAAGGATACTACTATAAAGAGGCCTAGTCCTTGATAGGTGCCATTAGAAACCTTGATTAAAGTTTCTGTATGCAGATCCATTTGGTCTTTGTTGGTTCTCTTTCTTGCAAAGTCCATCCGCATCTAGATTTGTTTGCACCGAGAAAGAATCTCCGCTGTTGGAATCATAAATACGTGCGGTTAACTTTAACATTTAGAGTTTGGCAGTTTAGCTTCACGGTTAGACTGCTGGTATTAAATTGTGTAACAGATCTTGTTGCTAGACTATAATGATTGATCTTGATATGATGTCCTGTGCTTTTGTGGCAGAACTGCACCTGGGCAACTCAAGAGAGGCAAAGCTTGATGAGTTTACTGATGATGAAATCCCAAGCACTTCAGGGAGGCAAATGACGGAGCCCACGTTTTCTGACGGATCACAGTTGCATTTAACCAAGGTTTTGCCCCCCCCCTCCTCTCCTCCCTGACCATTGCTAGGATGTGTATTTCATACAAACCCTGATGCTTTGAACTGATTTTCCACAAGTTTCATATGCCCTTCTCTCCGCCATTACTTTTGAGTAATTTTTCACCTACCTCCCTTCTAAGACAAGAATATGATTGCAGCACCTTGGTCTATCTCCTCTACCAGCTTATGAACCAGCTTTTGATTGGGAAAATGAGAGGTCCATGATATTTGGCCAAAGGATTCCGGAAAGTCCAATGACTCTCAATGGCAGGTTGAAAGTTAGTACATATTCCATTTTTCCTCATATTGACCTTTCCTTTTTGTTAGAGTAATGATTTTGTGTGTTACGTTCTTTATTTCAGTGGCCTGAAGATCTCTGTGAAAGTACTGTCCCTAGCATTTCAAGCTGGATTAGTGGGTCAGTTCTCAGCATGCTGCTAGTTTTGCTCAGACGATTTACTTCTTCATGTTCTTTCGTGCTTTCATGTTTTACTTCAAATTGTGTGGTGTGTTTGTTTCCAGTTTAGTTTTTTTTTTACTTTTTTTACACTGATGCAAGCAATCTAGGAGAAGTGTGCCATTTTTTTGTTAATTTATACATTTATTTTGGGTAGAAACTGTAGCCCTTAAATCTTAATTTAGTTAAGCATCACTATTAAAAAAGGCAAGAGAGCCAGCCCCTTGTTGCTTCTTTGTTTTAATTTGTGTATATTTCTTATTTCTTGCTCTTAAACAGAGCCATTTTATGGCACACTATGCCTCTACAATAAGGAGAGAAGAGAGAAGTTGTCGGAGGACTTCTATTTTCATGTTGTACCCACTGACATGCAAGATGTAAGTATTAAGACGGAAGGGCTTCGCTGTCACTATTCTCTATTGGTTGCTGTATTTATATTAGACTAACTCGTTTTTACTTCTGCTCTTCTTTCTCTTGGGATGACAACGAGGTAGTTAATAGTTTGGTTCTGCTGCTCACAGGAACAGAATACTCCTGAACGTCGTGGAATTTTTTATTTGGATGCTCCATCAGCTTCAGTTTGCCTGCTTGTCCAGCTTGAGAAGCCTGCCTCAGAAGAAGGAGGCGTTACTCCTTCTGTCTATTCACGAAAAGAGCCAGTATGTTGAGAAAATCTAATAACTCATTTGTTTCTGTGCTATTTCTTTAGCTTTTGTTGTAAACTGAATCCGTCAATTGGCGAGTCATTACTGGATACTGGTTATGTGCAGTGAAAATCCTGATTGATTATGCTCACTTTTGTGTATATTTATACCAACTTTGCAATCGATATTGTGGTAGGGCCAAGCTGAAAGCTGATTAACACCTTTGCTATTATCTTCTAGATAATTTCTGTTTTAACTTATATGGGCTAGCTATTTTATATAAAAGTCACGCAGTGTAATGACTGCATTGTGTTTATTTGTTCTATCCCCTCACTTTCCTCCTGCTGTGACAAGCCATCCAGGAAGCTACATTTTCTATTTTTGGTTTGCACTTGCGATTTCACTCAATCTTATTGCTAGCAGCTAGTGCTTGCCTTATTAAAAACTATAAACTTAAAAATCATAGCTTTTGTATTTACAATATCTTTCTTTAAACAGGTCCATCTTAGTGAGAGAGAGAAGCAAAAGCTGCAGGTATGGTCACGGATTATGCCCTACAGAGAGTCCTTTGCATGGGCGATCGTTCCATTATTCGATAGCAGTACCGGTGCAACTTCGGGAGGGCCTGCTTCTCCGAGTAGCCCACTCACTCAAAGTGTTTCTGGATCAGCTTCTCATGAAGGCACATTTGAGCCTATTGCGAAAGTCATGCTAGATGGGAAGTCTGGTTATTCTAGTGGAAGCTCTGTTGTTGTTGAAATTTCAAATTTGAATAAAGTTAAAGAGAGCTATACAGAGGACTCACTTCAGGTAAGGAACATGGATACATAATCAACTTTTCTGATGGATCCAAGTCTTGTACCATACAATGTCATTTCATTGTGCTTATGCTACAATGTCTTGGTTTACTGGTAAAACAATTGTCGTTCAGATGCTTGACATACATATTGCTTGTCTACCTTGGTGAAAGTAAATACATCCCTTGTTCATTTGGACTTTGCTGAAAATCTTATTTGCAAACTTTTGTAACTTCCCACCGCCATCTTTTGTTCTGTTCAGTTTTTATTTTGATGTCCTTGTAAATTGTCTGATGTGAAATTTAGTTGGTAATTTTCTTTAGCAATTACTTGTGAAAGGTGTAGTATAGACATTGAAAATCTGATGTGAAAAATGGATACAGGATCCTAAACGCAAGGTTCATAAACCTGTGAAAGGTGTATTGCGGTTGGAAATTGAGAAGCACCAGTTGGGCTACTCTGACATTGAAAATCTATCTGAAAGTGGAAGTTTGGCAAATGATTCCGTTGATATGGGGGACCGGGCTCCTGACTCTGTCTTGTCCAGAGTTCCTGGAAATAGTTCTGATGGGCTTCGAAGTGGCAGCCAGAAGTGGAATGTGCATGATGGAAAGGCGGTTTCTGGAAATGGATCAAATGCTTGCCCAAGTTCAGAATTAAATGCTAGTGATGTAAGTAAATACCTTTTGCCTGTTCCCCCCACCCCACCCAATGGCTATGGAGTTGCAAGGAAGAATTCCTTGTTACAGAATTTGGTTGTGTGACTCTCTGATTTTGAGGAGTTTTCTTGATTTGCATTTGTTATAGTCTACTTATGTTGTCAATAAAGACTGGATCCCCGTTAGATTGTCTGTTGAATAGTTCCTGTCATATATACGTTATATTCTTCATCTCTTTATTCAGGGTTCATCCTCATTTGACTTATGGTTGTATGCAGTTCCAAGCTTTTGACTTCCGGACGACTGTGCGAAATGAGCCTTTCTTGCAGCTTTTCCACTGTCTGTATGTTTATCCTCTGACAGTTAGTCTGAGTCGGAAGAGGAATTTGTTTGTACGGGTTGAACTTAGGAAAGATGATTTGGATATTCGTAGGCCACCTCTGGAGGTACTCTGTTGTGGATACTGTACATGCTTGGTTCATTGCATTCATATCATCTGCTTACTTGATAGCTACTCTTATTATCAGGCGATGCATCCAAGAGAGCCTGGAGCAGGGCCACAGAAGTGGGTCCACACACAGATTGCTGTTGGCACTAGAGTTGCCTCTTATCACGATGAAATAAAACTTTCCTTGCCTGCCATTTGGACTCCCTTGCATCACCTTTTATTCACTTTCTTCCATGTTGATCTTCAAACAAAGCTAGAAGTTCCAAAGCCGGTAAGACCTATGTATGTTTACTGTTTCTGTTAATGGGAGTCTCGTAGCCTACGTAGACCTAGTATAATCTAGCTCTCATTTTCACCCGTATGTCATACAAGTCTGCAACTCATCAAGAAACCTTAGCTACAGTTATTATACAGGAAATTGTTCTCACTTGATGCCGGTGATTATTCTTCTCTCTCGAGGGCTAAGAGGCAGGCAATAAGTTTTGGTATTTTATTTGATAGCATACTATCTCTTGATACCTAAATTTTTTCAGCTGAAAAAGTTCTTAATGAAATATCCGGTGTTCTTTGAACATTGTTTTCTTGGCGAAGTTCCATGAGTTACGCCATTGAATGGATTATCACCCTTATTGTTTGTTACTTTACATTCTGTGCTTAAATTTTCTTGGAATCCTTAATCAAATAGATAGCTGACCTTCTAGTTGAACATTGTTTTCTTGGCCAAGTTCCATGAGTTACGCCATTGAATGGATTATCACCCTTATTGTTTGTTACTTTACATTCTGTGCTTAAATTTTCTTTGAATCCTTAATCAAATAGATAGCTGACCTTCTAGTTAAGATATACCATGTTTTTTTCCTGAAATATATGTCAAGTGATCCTGGCATCTCCGTGAAGCTAACTTCTCATGCTTCCATGGACGTGAAAGCTATGTGCTGTTCGTTATTTTATGCTGTTATCTGCAGTCGTTGTGGATTTTACTTCATTTTGTGTCAATTACGTGGTTCATATTTTATGGTTGCAATGACTTACATCCGGTTACCTTTTGGACTTAAACTCTGTGATTTCTGAACAGGTGGTAATTGGATATGCGGTGCTTCCTTTGTCAACACATGCTCAGTAAGTGACTATTGCCTGCATATTAGATCCATCTTTCCTGCTGTTCTGTGAAACCATTTTCTTCAGCATTCTGTTAAGATCAGGAACTATGCGGTTTGACATTTTCCCCCCGTCACGTTCACTTTTGAAACAAAAACTACAATGTATTCTGATGTACTCAGGCTGCGATCTGAAATTTCATTACCAATAATGAGAGAGTTGGTTCCACATTATCTTCAAGATTTGGGGAAGGTATGCTGGTAACTGTTAACACTGTCCTTATTTTACTGGTGTAAATTCTTAAAGATGCTGTACATCCATTGGTACTGACTAGATCCTTAATTTGATCATTTCAATAAAGCTGAAAAAATTGAATGTATTTGCATTTTTATTATGTTTAGGAGAGGCTGGAATATTTGGAAGATGGAAAAAATATCTTCAGACTGCGTTTGCGGCTTTGTTCATCCTTATATCCCTTCAATGAGCGTATCAGAGATTTTTTCCTGGAGTATGACCGGCACACTCTTCGAACAAGTCCTCCTTGGGGATCCGAACTTCTGGAGGTACGTTCTGAAAATTCTTAGCCAAGAGTCTCTTGATCTCATCCTCCCTGCTACCAATCACTCGACGTGATGTCTTTATCTTCCATTCAAAGCGCTCACTGGAAGCCCAGGTTTTGATGTTATATCTTAATCACTCATGGACCCTGAAGTCTCTTAACAGCCCTACAACATAATCCTGTTCCACAGGATGTTTCAAGGGGTTTTATTTTTATTCTTAAGGTTCTTCTTTCAGGTTCCTAGCTGTTTGTCTGTACTCTCTGGGATTGTATTAAGCCTCCTAAATATATAGCTCAATAATATGGAGTAAAATAAAAACTTCTAGGAGAAGTCTTGAAGTAGGAGGGAATAAGTGGGAAAAATGGCTGAAGCAGCCTGAAGCAACTGGAAGCTGTTTGTCTGTACTCTCTGGGACCATAATGAGCCTCTTAAATATATATCTCAAGACTTTAAAGCAAAATGAAAACATCTATGAGAAGTCATTCTCAAAGAAAGGGAGTGCTCGAGTTATTATGAAGTGGGAGGGAGTAAGTGGGAAATTTGGCTGAGCAGCTGAAGTTACTGGAAGCTGTTTGCTGCAAATCCATTTTTATAAGCATTAATCTCGTTTTCCTTTTGGATTTGTTTCCAATCTGTTCATCCTTGAAACAGTGCATCTACACTAGATATATGACTTCATAGTGAAGCACAGGCTTGACTCCATTTCTTTATGATGGTGCAGGCCATTAACAGTTTGAAGAATGTTGATTCCACTGCTTTGCTTCAGTTTCTTCATCCTATACTGAATATGCTTCTACATCTCATAGGCAGTGGCGGAGAAACTCTCCAGGTAGATGCTGCATCTATGATTTAACTGTCTATAATTTTTGTTATTGTTTCCAGTACGGCAGTACCGTTAAAATTCTTGTCATGGTTGCCACTTTGAGTTGTTCATCTGTCTTTTCCTGCTTCCCCTTTCAGGTTGCAGCCTTCCGAGCTATGGTCAACATTTTGACTAGGTAATGGTCCTTAGAGTTCATCAGTTCCAAACATACGCTTTTCTTATTCACTGGAGCGGGTTGAAGCTTTTTGGTGCATATTTACTATTTTTTATCAAACAGGCCGCATGGCTGACCATAGTATTGATTATACTGAGTTTCTGATTTAGCCGCTGATCTCAAATTGAAATTGATTTCCTAGAGTCCAGCAGGAATCAGTTGATGATGGCGAAAGAAACCGCTTCCTTGTCAACTATGTTGATTATGCTTTTGATGATTTTGGTGGACGTCAAGCACCAGTTTATCCAGGTCTGTCCACTGTATGGGGAAGCTTGGCTCGTAGTAAGGTGAGACCTTCGATGTTCTATTACCAGCTGGTAGTAAGTGGATTTATACTTGTTATTGAGTTATTATTTCATTTATTTGTATCCTGTTTTATGTATTATACTGGCTATAATTTGCACATCTTACTTGGAATTTGAAGAAAAGGAGTTGTGCATTGTATTTCTAATACCCAAGTACTGCCTCTATATGTAATTTGTGCTTATACTGGCATCCCCCTTTTTGTTGCTTTCTGAAGTTCGCCTTGTTTTTTGCAGGCTAAAGGTTATCGTGTTGGGCCAGTGTATGATGATGTTCTTGCAATGGCTTGGTTTTTTCTTGAGCTAGTTGTCAAGTCCCTGGCCTTAGAGCAAACTCGTCTTTTTTACCACAACCTTCCATTGGGTATTTTATCTTTAACTTCTATGACATGAAGGGGTATATCTAATGGAATGATGGGTCGTTAATTTGATTTGTCTTGTGACATTTTTGCTACAGATGAAGATGTTCCTCCCATGCAACTGAAAGAAGGTGTTTTCAGATGTGTGATGCAGTTGTACGATTGCCTCCTGACAGAAGTGCACGAGCGTAGCAAAAAGGGTTTAAGCTTGGCAAAAAGGCTGAATAGCAGTCTGGCCTTCTTCTGCTATGACCTTTTGTCCATTATTGAACCTCGCCAAGTTTTTGAGCTGGTATTTATCTCTTGTTATGATACTTAAATGTTCACATAGTGCACTTGGATTATTTATATGATACCAATTTACCCTTTTTTTCCAATGCAAGGTCTAGTCAATTAGATTTTATGGACCAATGGAAATCATAGCAGGCAAACCTCAATTAGATTTTATTGAACCTCGTTTTATGGACCAAAAGGTCATAGCAGAAGAAGGCAAAACCAATGAATATTGAACTTTGAATATGTGCCCTAGTTTTTCTGGGCTTTGCACTTGCATGCTGAAGAACTCTTGATTGTAGACGTACTTTCCCTACGTTTTCTAATACTGTAATCTTCCGCTTTTAGAACTCTCCACTGCCCCATAAAACTCCAAGAAAGTACTGTGCTTCTCTCTTATGAGATTATCATATCATCAAGCTCACTTCACACAGCCCACGGTTCAGAGATGATAATTGTGCTTGAAAATCCTGAAGCAAGTGCTTGTTCCCTACATATCCTGATATTTGCACGGAGTATAAGTAACGTTACTGGGTGTCTTCCTTCACCGTAAACTGTTCAGTCGTATTGCATAGAATAGCTAGTGTATTAAGAAAAACTTTGCATCTCCTTTGGAACGACTCTTTTAATTTGCTCATGAAAATTGTCTGGAGATATTATTTGAAGAGACAAATGGTGTTTTTTATGTTATTTTTTCTGTCGGCCAATATTGAAGTTAATACTGTTAACTTGCATGATCATGAAGTTCTATTGTGATTGGCATCATTATTTTTTGGCACCTGAATAGTTCCAATTTGCTGCAGGTGTCATTGTATCTGGACAAATTTTCTGGTGTATGTCAATCAGTGCTTCATGATTGCAAGCTTACGTTTTTGCAAATCATATGTGATCATGACCTTTTTGTAGAAATGCCTGGGAGAGACCCTTCGGACAGGTATGATGCAAATCAATTTCAATCTGCGTTCATGTGATATCTCAGGTGTCTTGGGTTTTCATGTAAGCGCAGTTGACTCCTCTTTCTTTCCTTTGCCTTGTTGACTTCCGTTGCAAAGCATTCTTCTCTTTGATGATCTGCAATGCAACATGTCATGACTCGGTTATAATTAGACAATACTTTTTGTACAAAGTTGAAAAATATGTAGTCGCTGCTATTGGTAAAAGAAAAAAGAAATCTACTATTTTATCCAAGTTAATTTTTTTTCTTTCACAAATAGGAACTCTTATCAGGAATCCAGGGAAATTGTTCATGGTTGAAAAATATATTATTTGAAATGCAATTAGCCCGATGATGATCGTCTTCTGGCTTGTGCAGAAATTACCTTTCTTCAGTCCTTATACAAGAGATTTTCCTTACCTGGGATCATGAGGATCTGTCCCAACGGTCAAAGGTGAGGCACTGGAGCCATTCTTTAGGCTTGAATGCGAGTTTTTATTTTATCTTTCATGTCTAGACCTTGAAGTTTCCCTAATGAAGTGAGAATATATGATATATTGATTCTACTTGTGCGCTATTGTCTTCACAAAATAGTTTGCTGGTGTTTGCAGGCGGCTAGAATCTTGGTAGTCCTTTTGTGCAAGCACGAGTTTGATGCTCGATATCAGAAGCCCGAGGATAAACTGTACATTGCGCAGCTCTATTTCCCTTTGATTGGCCAGGTAACACTAAAAATGGCATCCTAAGCCTTGTGTGTACTTGAGATTCATTTCTGCCCTTTCTCAATTTCCCAGGCCCGATCTTCTCATATTTGGGTGGCCGAATTTATGGGATTAATGTAGCCTGTACTTTATTTTTATTATTATCAAAATGCTGGATGTTGACATCAAATCCAAGACCCAGTGCTAGACAAGCCTGCTTCACTAATTTTGTTTTGAGTTTCTTTCGAGTAATGTTCGTAGTAGAAGCTCTCGGTGAATTCCTTGTTGGCATGGCCTTGCTCCAACTCTTCTGCGCTGACAAACATGAAATTTTTAGTGTAAATTAGTTGCTATTGGGATCAATAAGCACTAGCTACCTATTTTACAGTTAGCATTTGTCATTACTCTCCTCGCTTCCACGCCTTCAAGATCATTGTTGATTACTGATGTCAGTTTTTACTTTTTAGTTTCACTACATAATCATAGTGTAGACTGACAGAACCATGCAGTAACCAGAAAAAATTGCCTGACAAGAATTGTCCTAGTTTATGTGTTTACATTGCTGAACATCAAACAAACATATATACCCTACAAGTTACCTTATATGTCAAAGCTTTACTTTCAGCCTCGTTCGCAGCTGGACGTTGAAATCTGATTCAGATTTTAAGAAGGATTCTTTTCAAAAATGTTTTGCGGCTAACATGTCAAACCAAACATGCATTCTAGCTTCTGGAAGATATTGCCCTTTTACGCTTGTGCCCTATGTACATGAAAACCAGGCTGGGACCAATAATGCTCTCACAAAATGAGTGTAGTGACTGGATCCTTCCCTGTGACATCGTCTGGGTAATTTTTGTTGTTGGTGTCTCTGATTTATCTGAGACTCAGCAACCAAATATGGTTCATTTGCATGACAGGAAGCAACTGAGAATATTAGCTTTAAACTGTATAATCTGCCTTCTTAATGAATTCTGGATCCAAATTGAACAGAAAAGCTGAAATTTGAAGCTGTTAAAGATGCATCGTTATTGGATTTGAGGCCCATATCATTTGATTTGTATGGACCCTTGTTCTGTTCTTACTGTGACCTGTCACGAAGAGTGCCCTTACTAGTTCGTGTTAACTCTTAGTTGGCAACGTATCATCGATGTTGGCAAGATTGACCTTTGGATTTTGCAGATCTTGGATGAGATGCCTGTCTTCTATAACCTCAGTTCTACTGAAAAGCGCGAAGTTCTAATTGCCATCTTGCAAATTGTTCGAAATCTGGATGACACATCACTTGTCAAGGCATGGCAGCAAAGCATTGCACGAACAAGGCTATTCTTCAAGCTAATGGAGGAAAGCCTTGTTCTTTTTGAGGTATGCTATATAAGTGACGTAATGTTTTGTCCAGATTGTGCTTATAGTTTTGAGTACGAAGTAAAGTTGAAGGGATTGAACTTTTATATTTTCGGGACTAGTGTTAGCTTTAAATATTTAGTAGTTCAGATACAGATAAGCCTGGTAAGCTCACCCACGCACACATAAATGACGGCTTTACCCAAGGAAAGCTGGCTGTTGATGCTGTTAATGGGTGTTGTTCAACATATTCTAGATTTTGCAATAACTTGAATAACTCTCGTGAATTATCCTTAGAATAGGCTTCCATGTACAATTGGGTTTGAAATAGGGGTCCTCACATGCATAGCTTCTATCACTTGAGGACTGGTCTTTCACTATCCTCAGCTTCCATCCTGCATGTTTGTCTATACTACTATTCTGGATATTGCAATAGCTCGAATAACTCTCTTGAATTATCCTTAGAATAGGCTTCCATGTACCGTCGGGTTTGAAATCGGGGTCCTGGCATGCATAGCTTCTATCACTTGAGGACCTGTCTTTCACTATCCTCAGCTTCCGTCCTGCATGTTTGTCTATACTACTATTCGATATGCTTCTTTGTTCACAATATTTGTCTCACCATGGTTGCTGGCTTTACAGCACAGGAAACCTTCTGATGGCATGCTGTTGGGTTCCAGCTCCCGGAGCCCTACAGTAGATGCACCTCCTTCCCCAAAATACTCAGAGAGGCTTTCTCCTGCAATCAACAACTATTTATCTGAAGCATCACGACAGGAAGTCAGGGTAACTATTATTTCTCCTATTTGTGGTTTCCTGATGCTCACTTAGTCACACCGCTGCGGTTGATGGTGTTAGTTAATGTTGGATATTGTCTCAAGCTGTACCCTGCTCCTGAATAGCTCTTTATCTAAACAAAATGAGCAATTAGTCTAATGCTATGTAGCTTGAGCAGCAAATCCTTGTTTCTGAGAACGGTGAATTTTTCTAATGCAGCCTCAGGGGACACCTGATAACGGATTCTTGTGGCAGAGAGTGAATTCTCAGTTGAGTTCTCCTAGCCAGCCTTACTCCTTGAGAGAGGCTCTTGCTCAGGCACAATCATCAAGAATAGGTGCTTCAGCACAAGCACTCAGAGAATCTCTGCACCCCATATTGAGACAAAAATTGGTAGGTTCTTTTGATCTTCAAAAGAATCCATTCATTTATGACAAGTGCTTCTGCCCATTGCACACCATATTTTTGGTAGTCCTACAATTAGGCAATCATTACTGGCAGCTGATGACTTTACATTTGCTTCAGGAATTGTGGGAAGAAAATCTCAGTGCTGCTGTGAGTCTTCAAGTTCTTGAAACAGCCGAGAAGTTCTCCACAATGGCAGCAGCCCATACTATAGCTACTGATTACGGGAAACTTGATTGCCTCTCAGCAATATTTATGAGCTTCTTTTCTCGTAATCAGCCGCTGGTCTTCTGGAAAGCACTATTTCCTGTCTTTAACACCGTTTTTGATCTTCACGGGGAAACATTAATGGCAAGGGAAAATGACCGCTTCTTAAAGCAAGTTGCTTTCCACCTTCTTCGGCTTGCAGTTTTCAGGAATGAAAGCATCAGGAAGAGGGCTGTTGTCGGACTGCAGATACTTGTTAGGGTATATACTTTTATAAGCAATTGTTGCTTTTGGAAATTAAGCCCACACTTCCACAAGCAAATTCATTGTCGTTACAAGAATTGTTGACTTACATCTCTTGCAGAGCTCTTTGTACTACATCATGCAAACAGCAAGGTTGAGGGTCATGCTGACAATCACATTATCAGAGCTCATGTCTGATGTACAAGTCACACAGATGAAGTCTGATGGGACCCTAGAAGAAAGTGGTGAAGCAAGGCGTCTTCGGAAGTCACTAGAGGAAATGGCTGATGAATCTAAGAGCAAGGAATTACTAAAAGAATGTGGGCTTTCTGAAAGTGGTCTAATGGTTATACCAGAGGGGTTGTCTGAGAACCGTTGGTCCTGGTCCGAAGTCAAACGCCTATCTGATAGTCTGGTTCTGGCCCTTGATGCTAGCCTGGAGCATGCCCTTTTGGTACGTGTTTCTCAAAATAATTTCAACCGAGATTCGTGTGCTGGAGTGATATGCTAGCTTTAGGCTTGTGGTAACAGTTACCACATGGTTATTAGACACATATTCCCTGAGCTGATGAAATGCCTCCTGCAGTACTTCCCTGAATGGGTTAAGATCAAACATGTGTATCGTAGAAGTTGCTTATTAATTCTCTTGCCTGGTTTAGGCTGTGTTAGTGTGCTGACATAAGCAACGTATGTTATGTAACAGGGTCCTGCGATGACTATGGATAGATATGCAGCTGCCGAGAGCTTCTACAAACTAGCTATGGCGTTTGCCCCTGTTCCTGATCTTCATATAATGTGGTTACTACACTTATGTGATGCCCATCAGGAAATGCAGTCTTCAGCAGAAGCTGCGCAATGTGCGGTAGCTGTTGCTGGTGTTGTGATGCAGGTAATAGGTTTATCAGTGGATATTGATCTAACATCATTTAGTTGATGCTTTTATCCTCCCATCCTTTTTATAACAAAGTTCAGAGAAGTTGAAAACTAGGCATTGATTTTGCTCCTGTTCTCTTTGTGAAGTTTAAACAAACCCTTTATTCACCGTACTAGTATTATATTGTTAACTTCATTAGTGAAGTTCCAGTCTGGAACCCGGCTTTCATATAAGAAACTAGCAGTGATCAGGGAAGGGACCGGATCCTTCTCTGCATGTGTAGTCAAATATTAGTTTCTTTATTAGTTACCAAAAAACAGAATACTTTATCTGATTTGGGAAAAAGAAAAATCAGGTCGATTCTTTGTTTCCCTGTGGTCTTAAAATAAGATAAACCTGGTTACTTCTTTACATATTAGCTCTAAACTGATGTATTTATGTAAATTTTGTTCTTGCAGGCTCTGGTGGCTAGAAAGGATGGTGTTTGGAGCAGAGACCACATAACTTCACTTCGAAAAATTTGTCCAATGGTGAGTTGCGAGATCAATTCCGAGGCATCTGCAGCTGAGGTAGAGGGATACGGTGCTTCAAAGCTTACAGTTGACTCTGCAGTAAAATACTTACAGAGTGCGAACAAGCTTTTCTCTCAAGCCGAGCTTTTCCATTTCTGTGCAAGCATTCTGGAGCTTGTGATTCCAGTCTACAAAAGTAGAAGGGCCTATGGTCAGCTGGCGAAATGTCATACAATGCTTACAAACATCTATGAGTCGATTCTTGAGCAGGAATCCAGCCCAATTCCATTCACCGATGCCACTTACTACAGGGTGGGATTCTATGGTGAAAGATTTGGGAAGCTGGATAGAAAGGAATTCATATACAGGGAGCCCCGAGACGTAAGATTAGGCGACATAATGGAGAAGCTCAGTCACATTTACGAGTCTAGGATGGATGGGAATCATACTTTGCATATAATCCCTGATTCTCGACAAGTCAAGGCAGATGAGTTGCAGCCTGGAGTCTGTTACCTACAGATAACAGCTGTGGATCCAGTGATGGAAGATGAAGATTTGGGGAGTCGCAGGGAGAGAATACTCTCTCTTTCCACTGGTGGGGTTAGGGCAAGAGTATTTGACCGGTTTTTGTTCGACACTCCTTTCACAAAAAACGGGAAAACACAAGGTGGACTGGAAGATCAGTGGAAGAGGCGAAGTGTTCTTCAAACGGAGGGCTCGTTCCCAGCTCTAGTGAACAGGCTTTTGGTGATAAAATCGGAGTCCCTCGAGTTCTCTCCAGTTGAGAATGCGATCGGAATGATTGAAACGCGGACGGCTGCTCTAAGAAACGAGCTTGAGGAACCTCGGAGTTCCGAGGGTGATCAGCGCCCACGTCTGCAGAGTTTGCAGAGGATTCTTCAAGGCAGTGTCGCAGTTCAAGTGAGCTTTATGATATCTTACAATACTCTTTGGATGAGTCTCTTTTTACTAAAACATATCTACATAAGTAACTTGAAAGATTGACTTAAAAGCTCAAATTGACACACTTCTACAATCTGACTGCTGAAAACAACAAAATAACTTTAAATCCCACTAAATATTCAAAATAAAAGTTATATCATTAATAAAATTGATTCTCAAATTTGCCCATTTGAACATAATGTCTACTTACCATTTCATCAATTATGTGCATAAACCCTAATCAAACACCTATTTCTCACAGAATAAATGTATTTTCTATAACAAAAGATTAAACGAACACATGCTTTATTGGTGTTGTGTTGCTTGGTGCTGTGCGGCAAAACTTACATTCTCACAATGCCAATTCTGGGTTTAACAGGTTAACAGTGGGGTATTGAGCGTGTGCACGGCCTTTCTCTCTGGCGAACCAGCTACAAGGCTGAGGTCACAAGAACTCCAGCAACTCATTGCTGCATTGCTCGAATTCATGGCAGTTTGCAAGCGTGCAATTCGAGTTCACTTCCGATTGATCGGAGAGGAAGACCAGGAGTTCCACACGCAGCTAGTGAATGGGTTTCAGTCTCTTACAGCCGAGTTGTCTCATTACATCCCGGCTATCCTCTCCGAACTCTAGTGTGTTTGTTATTGTGATCCGTGTGTGCATTAGTTACTTACCACTTGTAGTATCATTGATTGCTGCTTCTTATGTTTGCCTTTTGTAGTTTGATTCCTTGGATATAGTTGTAGGAAGCGTTTACCTGGCTGTAATGAAGCGGCTAATTGTGCATTCCTAACTTTATTTAATATGTACCGTATTTAGGTTGATTTATGTCGAAGTTCTAGGACGATTTTCTGAGCAAACAAGGATTCCATATCATCAATTTGACATCTTTATTTCGAGATTCAAAACACTACATTCTGCATTGAAGTTTAAAACAAGGTCATGAATAGATGTACCTAGCTAAAAGATTTGTCTATTGCAAAGGAACATGGCAGCACCCTCAGAACTTGAACAAATTCTTATGAACCTTCAATACCAATCTACAAGTCAGCGAAATTCGGGTACTGGTTCGATGAATGCTCATTATCTCGGTGCTTCTGACAGCATGCGAAGTATTCTCCGCATCAAGGATTTGTTGCACATTTACGGCCTGAAATGCATAATGTCAGACTCCATCCGTATAAGCTCATCATGTTTTAAGAATAATTTCAATGAAGAATTCATTATCACATGATGTATTCTAGGGAACTCGTGAATGAGAAGTTGAAAACAAATGTCATCACCAATTAAGTGACTTTTTACTAGGCAAAGGGTTTACCTTATCAAAATCATGCACCTCTGCGTCCTTGATACCATGCAGATAATCTGAAAGTGCCGATCAGAGGGATGTTAGAACATTCAACAAGTCGAGGGAACTCGAGGAGAACAAACAATAATGGATAATGTCGATATCTATGCATGCGTACTGAAGGCCGAGGTTATTACCTAAATAGGCATCATCCTTGAATATCAGCAGGCTCCTAGGCATAAGTGCAACAGAAAAACGGTGGTGATCATCAATCCACTTGTCTGTCTCGGCCTCCAAGGTTTCGCTGCTGGGATGTCGTCTACCTTCACCTCCTTCATCCTCCAGCGGATCTGGGGACGCTCTCAACCTTGAATGGGGAGTGAAGTCCATAACTGCAGGAGATCCAAGTGAAAGAATAGCTGCCACTGGAAAATAGGCAGGTCCATCCTGATGTGGCTGGTAACGATCAAAAAATTGACAAATCATAAATGCACACACAGAAAGAAAATATAATTATCAGCGGAACTTTATAGAATGATCAAAGAAATGAGAAACCCTAGGAACGACTGACCAAGTGAGGACTCGAGCACAAAAAGTGAGCTACTAAACACTGAAACCATAAGTATGAACACATTATAGAATACCATTATTCCTTGGCTTGGGAGGTATTCATTGATGAGAACATGATTAATCGCTGAAGGAAAGAGTCCTGATTCTTCATTTATTCGCTGCGTGATTTTTGTTAACCAAGGAGGCACTGCAACAAAGGTTGTTTAGTACATTCTGAAACCAATATAGCAGTAGCAACACAAATCGTTCATCCCAAGCCTTACACAGAAATGTCCCAATTCCTGAAGCAACTAAAAGCAAAAACCAGTGGAACCAAGATCCAAGAACACGGCGAAACAAAGCATTATCATAAAGCGCTCGGAGAACACTCGAATGGTACTACAAAGAAGAAATGCAATGCTCAATAAATAGAAGTCCAGCACTCACGTTCTTGTGGCAGAAGACCCTTTTCGTGAACAACTCCGCCTGCAAGAAATACAAATGAGATTGGGAAGGAGAAGAGGACTCGTCACTGATATCAGCAGAGGAAGACACTACTAGTTTGATTCATCGAAGGAGACGACTTTCAAAGAATCGGTAAAACATATAGTTACCCCAATTTTGCAGTCTCCTATTCTTCAAGGATTTCCATTTCGCTGAAGGTGCTTCATATATCTGCAGAGTTTCCAAACACTTGGATGAGATAACATGAACATCAAAAAAGCAAGAGTGACCAACATTACATAAAAATACACACATGCAGGAAAGAATTGAAGGACCTTGGCCAAGAGATGAGCCTCTTCAGCTTCTGTGACAAACTGAGGCACATATAATACAGTTGGGAGCGAGCCCACCTGGTAATCTTCAAATCCCATTTGCCCCCTTCCCCCTCTTTACTTACCAGAAGCTGCCGTTATCAACAATAGCACACTGCTTTGTTATACGCTAATAGAAAGAAATTGCAGCTCCACGAATGCACAAAATCCACCACAGCAGCTCTACCTTCTCCTCTCCAATTCGTTTCCGTTCTTAAGTCAAGTCCCCTAAACCCGAAAGGCAATCGATGGCTGTTTCAGACTTTCAGCCACTGCTGCTCTTCCAGGCGTGAAACGGCGGATCGCCCTCCACTAGAAAAGTAAAGGAACAAAGAGGGATTGAACAAAAATCCTGTTCAGAATCTTAGCCAACCTCAAGCAGGAATGGTCTGCAGATGAAGAACGTCTGCAGAGTGCTGAGTTGAGTTCTAAGCGCCGGGGAAGCTTCCACACTTCTGCAGTTTCTTCGTCGTCCTCCGCCGCCCGGCGGCGAATCCACTTTAAATTGCTTTCTCGTTTTCTTTATTTCTCCAACTAGGCAACTACCAATTTCTGGGGCCCGATAGTTTCGCAAAGAAGCCCATGTTTCCTTCAACAAGCGTGGGCCTCGCAAACAATGACGAGTGGAGTTGGCGGGTCAGATCAGGTCCTTAAGGCCTATTTTTTAAGAAAGATTTTAAATCCTTTCCAACCAATAGAAGGAGAGAGAGTGATTAGTAATCATTGTGTAACTACCTGCCTAATACGTTCAAGGAGAAGACTGGAATATACTAAATAATTAATAATATTATTAATTGAAAGAAAAATTGCGGAAACTGACAAAAATGCGGATTGAATTGTTTTCTCGTGTGTCGTTCTCCTCCCAGCCCTAAAACCGCTTCTCTGCAAAACTCGCCGTCGTGCCTCGCTGGAGACGTACCGTCGCAAGCCGCTTCTCTCCTGCTCTCCGCCGACTCGTTGACCTGCCGTAGTTGTCCGCCGTCTAGCCTCCACTCCGTAGTTAGCAACCGCACAGAGAACTCCTTGCCTTTTTGTCGTCCGCTGTTACCACTGCTCTGCTTCGTCGGCGTCTCGTCCCGCCGGCATACCCACTCCATGGAATTGCCAAAGCGTCTTTTGCTTGATAATTTTATGTTAATAACGTAATTTACGTACTTTACATTCTTACTATATTAGACCGTATTAACAACCGTAAGTAAAAATGTTAATAATGTATGTAATTGAAGAAGAATCTCAGCAGTAGTTTGTTGACATTGTTATTAATAACTGGAAAAGGATGATTAATAACAACGACATTAGTTGTTAATAATTATAGTATAAATGTTAATAATCCAGGTGGAAAAATTTCTTCAGTGTTTACCTGACAGTGTTATTAATAATTGAAGTAGAAATACGTTGACGCGTTAATAATGAGACTAGGGGTAATTAATAATGGCGTCATTGTTTGTTAATGATTGAAGTTAATAAGTTAAAAGTCATCTTTGCGTGTAAGGCTTCAGCGTCTTTGTGGTTTAATAATTCGAAAAGGGATGATTAATAAGAATGACATTATTTGTTAATAATTATAGTTGTAACAAGTTTGCAAAACAATCATCGGTTTAAAGCATCAACGTCGTGGTGTTTTAACAACTGGAAAAACTATGATTAATAACAACGACATTATTTCTTAATAATTATAATAAATTTTTTAATAAGGATACGTTAATAATGGTAACAAAACATGTTATTACCTTAAAATTAAAACGTTAACAATGGTAACAAAAATATTACTAAAGAACACACATTAGCAACGAAACATTAATAATAAAAAGTTAATAGTGGTGAAAAAAATGTTGCTTACTTAACAATTAAACGTTAACAATGATAAGAAAACTGAAGGGGCGTTCCAAGCCTTGTGCCAAAGGCTGCTCCTGTGCATGATCGAGTGGCTCAGGGAAGGAGCGGTCAGAGTAGCATTCCTCCCTTTGAAGCAGCCCGTGCACCTGTTCTTCCATGAATGGTCCATGATAGAAGGGTTGAGAACGTTAGGTGGCTCTCCCCCCCAAGGGGTTGGCTGAAACTTAATGTAGATGGGGCATCGGCAGGTAACCCTGGGATTGCAGGAGCTGGTGGGTTGATTAGAGATGAGCAGGGTCGCTGGATGGCCGGGTTTGTGGCTATGATTGGGGAAGCCTCGGCAGCCCTTGCTGAGCTGTGGGCTATTCGTCATGGTTTGGATATTGCTTGGCGGTGTAGGTGCAGGAACTTGATCATTGAGTCGGACTCTCAACTTGCTATCCAGCTGATTAAGGATAGACAGGATCCCATTCACCCCTACGCCGGCCTGCTTACCTCGATACGGCGGCGTATAGCTCAGGATTGGCTGGTCAACATTGTTCACACGTACCGTGAAGGGAATAGAGCCGCGGACTGGCTCTCGAAGCACAGTCTCGTCTATCCCTACGGTATGCGGGAACTTGTGGACCCGCCAAGGGATCTGTGTCATATTCTGCAAGAGGATAATCTGGGAATCTCCTTTGAGCGCCGGGTGGTGGTTCACACGGATTGCTAGTCTTCCTTTCTGCTTCTCTTTCCTGATGTAGTCTCCCTCTTTCTTGGCTTTGGCCTCCCTTAATGCAAAAAAAAAAACAATGATAAGAAAAATGTTAATAATGGTGTAAAAAGGTCACTAACTTAAAAATGAAAAACTATGAATTGGTAACAAAACTTTACTAACTGAAAGTCAAAACATTAATAATTATAACAAAAATGCTACTAATGGAATACAGATTAGCAACAAAAACGTTAATAATAAAAAGTTAATAGTGGTAAAAAAAGACTGTTAACTTACCAATTAAACATTAAAAATGGAAAGAAAAACGTTAACAATGGTAACAAAAATGCTACTTCTGAAATACATATTAACAATGGACAGGAGTGACGCCGGATGAGGCTTCGCCGGACGTAGTGACGGACGACTAGAGACAGACGCAACATGCCGACGACAACAAGCGGCGGGAGCGGGTGAACTCGACGGCAAGCGAAAAAAATGAGAACGCGATGGCAATCGAGGGATGTAATGGGCCAGCGACGGGAGCGAGGGAGCGACGCGGTTGTGGACTGAGTGAAGAAGCGACCAGTCTTTCAACAAAATAAAGACGAACAAACGACGGCCAGGACAAAAGACGACGGGCCGTAGAAACTTGTTTGACGGAAATGGGAAGATAGCGGCAGATCTGTTGAGAGAGAACGTTCGGCTGGAAGTGGGAGAAGGGACAGGGCTCGACGACGACGATTATGGAATCGGCGATGGTGGATTGGGACGACGACGGGAACGGGAGCTGGCAGCGACGGCGAGGTGTAAAACATGAACGGGAGCAGAATCACCTGCCGGCGACGGTGAAGAACAGACAGCGACGACGACAAAGGCAGCTGTTTTTTTGCGTGGTGGACTTGAACGACGACTGCAGCGGGAGCTAGCTACCCTCGGCGGAGAACTCTTACTGAGAATCGCCGCCGAAGAAGGGACGATCGGGAGAGACCGTTCGCCTGCCGACGGGAGGAAGAAGAAACAGACAGCAGGACGGCTCAGACGTTTGCTAGAGGGAAAATAAAGAGACGTTTGTGTGGGTTAGAGTTGCAGTTTTTAATTGTTTTGTAGTCTCCTTAATACCCCTAACAACTATTTAACTAATAACTCCCCAATAACTACCTAAAATTGAGTAAGCCAATCAAAACGGTTTAAGATCCTTCTTAAAAAAGAAGCCTTAAGGACCTGAACTTAGGCCGGGAGTCAGCGCAACAATTTAAGGTTGTTAGAAAGTTGCTATTGTTAAATATATGTATTGTTGTAAATGCATGTATAATATTATACATGTATTTTCAAATTTGATACATTGTAGAATACAACGTTTGGTATGTGTAATTGTATATGTCACATTAGCTAAAAGTTAAGACAAAACAATTTTAACTCAACTATCTCAACAATCACAACTAAAAGTTGAGATATAACAATAACTCATTTTGAATTATAGTTTCTGTCACATTACAAAAACAATCAGTGTATTGTTTCTGCTAAAAAATCAATACAATGATGTATTATAAACAATACATATATAGTAACAATCTCGACAAAATAATCGCAACTTCCAAACGAGTTTTTATTTAAGAGAGTACGGGAGTGATATATGATTGTCTTTAAACCTAACAAATTCAGTTATCATGATGCACTACTAATAACCCATCAAAATCCTAAGAAACGAAGATCATGTTTGTACATTTGTTCTTCTCTTTTGATAAACTAGATTAAAATTCAGCCCGTTGGATGAAAAAACTTAATTTGACAAGTGAAAGCTCAACAACAATATATGTTTCATGTGATCACTCACGTTGAGAAAATTATATATTTTCCATAAGCGATAGTCACCTTGGTAATATACGAAAAAGAAAAGAATGTCACAAATAGGGAATGAGATAGCATGCCTACCCATAAAAGGGTTGGAAAAATGACAACCCCTATTAATTATAGGTTTTTAAGGTAATTAATTTGTGTTGCATTTAATAATCTGTATGAATTAAAAACACATATTAATTACTTTCCTTTTTTCAGTGCACTGGTAGTTGTATCAGTGCACTGGTAGTTGTGTACAGGTGCAATGGTAGATGTATCACTGCAATGATAGTTCCAAAAAAGGAACGTAATTAATATGAGTTCAGTATACAAGTGCAATGATAGTTGTATCAGTACAATGGTAATTAAAAAAAAAAAGAATGTAATTAAGATGAGTTTTTAATTTTCAAAGATTATTAAATGCAACATGAATTTAATACAAAAAATAACTATAATTAATAGGGGTGTCATTTTTCCAACCCTTACAAGGGTTAGCATGCTAACCGATCCCCACAAATAGTTTTCTGTGAAAATTACTATGCCCAATATCAATTTATGAAAAGGGAAACCCACTTAGAAATGTTAGTGAATTATAAGTTCTCCTATTTTAAAAGAAATTTACAGTATCAGCAGTTTTTGAAACAATTTACCTTGATGATTGTTACTTGGTACTTAAAATGAAGTACAATAAACTCGAAAATGTGGTAAAAAAACATTGTCTATATGTAATTAACTCTTAAGCATTCTATTTACCTTCTGCATGAGCTATTAGGTGTTCAATTTGATAATGTGTTCTTCTCTTTTAGATATCTTCATTTCACATCGCATTAATGTGTTATTATAAAATTTTAAATGGTTAAATTGATATAAATCTCCTTAGTGAACCGAGTCAAATGAATAATTTTGGGTATGTCTTATCAAATCAGGCCACTTAAACCATACTAAAAGATTTTACAGAAGCAAACAAATTAGTCAAATTAAGTGAACCATTATTGCACTAATGCCAATTGGTTCATTGGTTGATGTACCATCGTGTTGCCCTATAAATCAATTGTTAATGAATACGTCATTGACAAAGTGGATTCTTTTCAAAATATATAAAGTGGATATCATTTTACATATTTCATCAAATTATATTTTTCCTTGAAAAAATATCTAAAATAAAATATGAGTTGGTGTAGCATTTAATTTATAAAAAAAAAAATCCTTAATAATGATAGACATGACGTGCTCCATTGCGTGAGTGGTAAAAAGGTAATATCTACAATTATGAGAGTTCTTTCGCTTGAGATTTTCACTCGAAAGAGACCAACATATGAAGCTTTCAAAGACGGCCTGAACATTGATAGATTTGTTAAAAGTGCACTATCAATTAAGCTAATAACAAAGACTTAACGTTTAAGGCCATGAAACGTTAGGCCCCCATTTTTGCAGTAAGGTAGAGCACGTTTTCAATGGAACTATTTCTCGACGGGGAGATAAGACGAGGGAGAACTTTCGCCACACCGGTATTCGAGCTATCGAATCACAACTAGGGATCAGACATTAAAATAACAGTCAATTTAGGCCCTAGACAATCACCAGTTCATCATTGTTCCAGCCTAACGAGAGGCACAGTTCATTCTCAAACAAGATTAGCCTATCTATTATGACACAAATCGAATGTCGAGGGAGTGAAATGTACGAGGCTATTTACCTTTTCATTCTGTAGTGACTCCAGATTATATTTGTGAAACAGGATGGAGTGGATCACGCACAAAACAAAACCTCCACTCCTCCTTGTAAGGAAAAAAATACCCCGACCAAGAGAATGTGAAGGGGGCACCAACAGGTTCAACCATCCTCTGAACTGAACCCAAAGTCATTAATTCTTTCCCAAGGAAAAGCAAAAGAGATCGACAACAACGTCGTCAGCTAGAAGTAAATACTTCTGCTTTCTCGTTGCATCTTGCTCGACAACTAACCTTGCAAAATCATTGCGAAGTGGGCTCTGTTCAACAAGACTAGGCCGGACAGCCAACACCAGCAGGAGACTCCACCTAACTTATACGACGAGAAGGAAACCCGATGAGTGAATTACTCAATCATGATTCAGAAATAATCCGCCCAATTGTAACCAGTGGGTTGCCAAGAAGAGAGGTGACTTCTCACACTCACAAGGCTGTCAGAATCTGCAAGTAAAACCCCACCTTTACTCTCATCCTCCTCCAGAGCTTAAAACCTCAAAAGCATCACCATCCAAATCGCGCGTAATTGTTCCAACTCTCCTCACTGTATCTTGAAAATGCTCTTCAGCTTCACAACCAGCTTCCATTCGTCGATAGACAGCTCATCCTGTGTGCATTCATTCAATCCACATCCCACACAGTGTTAGCAATTTATGGGAATCGCTTAAAAACCAACTGATGAAAACGGATGTCAAACCCTCGAATATGTACCCGATAGTTTTCTTTCAGAATATCGATCGAACTCCTTGAAATGTGGCTGACAAGTTCATCATCAATGTCAAAGTGTCTGCCATACATTTTCTGTTGTTCCTCTGAATTTGAGCCAATTATCTGGCAACATCAGAGTCAGAATCAGAGTCAGATTGAAGTTGACTGAAAGATCATACTTAGACAGATGGGGTGTGGACTGATTCAATAAGTAAGGAAGATCATAATTAGACAGAAACAGACATTCAGTGTGCTTTTCATTTACTGACTCCCCACCTAGGCAAAATCAGACAACAGAACACGAGGGAGGAGCAAAGAAAAGGCATGTGCATTAATAGAATTCATACCTTAATCGCCACCTTCTGCCCTTTCTTAGCCGTATCAACAGGTTTATGGTTATTCTCAATGGAAGCAATCCGACCGATGTCAATAAAATCTTGTGTAGGAATACATATAGGAGTGCCAACCTGTTGAAAAGATAAAACAAAAACAAATGCCAAGGCGACCGACTCAATAATCAATACAAACTTCTTTTTGTTAGGCCGAACGGCACATTAACGCACTAACATGTAGACAACACATGCACTTTAATCAAGTAAAGATTCATATTACCTTAGCAATTCCTTCGACAATATCAACTCCCAAAACAATTGGATCTTTCTTGTTAAAAACGCAGTTGGGCATAATCTTGAGAACACAAGGGAAAACTGCCTCGTCAGCAGCTTCCTTCTTCTTCTCCTCTTTCAGATTGTCAATATAAGCCTTGAATTGATCAAACAAGTGGTAAATGATATCTGCGATGAAGATCGTTACACCCACGTCATCGGCAAGTTCCCGGGCCTCAGGCGTGACTTTGACATCAAATGCCAAAATGGTAGCATACTCTTTTTTCTTCTCCAACATAACACTGGCCTTCATGACATCTTTTTTGTGCACAGGGCCGATCCCTATGCCACTAACAGGGATCTTCACTGCAGGAGACTTCAAGAACTCGAGCAGAGCTTCCAAAGATCCAAGGGTAGAAGCCTGTACATAAACACCCTCGCCACTTTTATCAATTCGGCTCATGACAGACTTCATGTCTTCCATTGCAGACTCCTTGACATCTTCCACATCATCATCAGGCCCTACCACGTACAGACCAGTTCCAGCAATAGCATGCTCTAGGCCCTGCAAACATGCAATTGAATTAAATGGTATTTAGCATTAGGTAAGATGAGCCAGGTAGTCAACAAAAATGGCCTCTGTAATGCATTAACCTCACCTGACCAGTGATTTTGATACCCTGTGCAGCCTTGATTTCTTTGTGGTGTAAATATGTGCCCTAAAACCAAAACCAAGAATTCAGGACATGCACAAAAAATGATAACTTGTACATCAGAGCTCGAAAAGCAAACACCGAACAGAAAAATGACCAAAAAATTCCATTTTCTTAACTATGCCTATTAACAACATGAATGAACCATCCCTGCCAATATCATCCACAATAAGAAATCCACAAGCTGCTGTCTGTCTCATTACCAGAGAATTTAGTGGTGCAACTATTTGTACATGCCATGAAAGGGCGCTAAAGATGAATCAGATTAACTATAACGAAGAACTGGTCAATAGAATCTTAGAAGTATTTCAGAAATGGAGATGTAATAGAATCAGAAGGCACAAAACAGAAGGACCTTAAAGAAAACATCAGACATCATAAGACTGTGCCTAGTTTTCAACAAATTCTCTACCTAAGTAAACCCAAAAGTAGTACAGGTGTGTCCAGTTCTAGCCATTTAAAGCACACTGCAAACTCTCGGCCATGATAGAATTTGCTAACCAGTCCGTTTGCTAGTTAGAAACTGCTGTGAAAAGTTATCAATTCCAGATTGTTCACTGAGCACGGGCTAGGTTCAAATCCTAGTGGTACTATTGACAAATTATCCAACGCCCTCAGGTCCTACCTTGCGCAGCCAGCATTCACCAATTAGAAAGAGAAAGGCTTCAAACTAACAATAGAAGAGTTTAATGCAAATGTTCCTACCATCTGCATTAACTTTGAACCAGAGGCATAATTGTTCAATTCTAACAGTTGTAGGTTCACAATTCATCAAGACAGTCTACAACATTTCCGCATAAAAATTTTCTTCATTCACATATTCTATAGCATCAATAAAAGTCAATCCAGGAGCATAAAGATGCCAACCTTAACACGGAGTTCCTTCATTGGATGAGGAGTTAAGAGAGCTCTAATAGAGGTGACAATGGGTCCCTGGAATTCCAAGAGCTGGTTAGCAAAGACCCAAATTTTAACAAATCACATCTTCAACAATACAACACATGCTAATTACTTGCCTGTAAACCGCAAACAACAATCTGATCTCCTTCATGAAGCACACCATTAACTAGCACAACATCAATTGTAGTCCCATGACCCTCAATAACCTTGACCTCCAGGACAGTACACTGGAACACAAATAAATAAATAAAAAACAACAATTAAACCACACGCTTAACTTTATGTTGCGCAGCAGATTACTAGATATGGCCAAACAGGTACCTGTATTTCATTGCTGAACGTGAGTTTCTCAACCATAGTCTTTTGAGTCCATTGGACCAATAGCAGCAATAAATCAGGAATGCCTTCTCCACTGTAAATATAAAAGTCATTAACTATCAATATGGCTCGCAACGGGCTGAATTTGGCAGAAAAGGGTAACAACAAAATGGAGGATAACAAACCTAATAGCACTTGTTGGTACAATACTATAAGTCTCTCCCATCTCCTTGTTCTTATAGTACAATGCAGTATTCAGTCCTTGTTCCTGAAACTGAGTACTGATCTGGTCCAAAGGAAAGAATTACGGCAAGTCAGACAGGATACCTCAAGCAGAGAGAAGGAGAGGGAGAGATAAAAGCAATGACGAAGACCTGTGCAAGCCTCATATTGAACTCATTTTGGACATCTTTTGATTGTAGCTTCATTGCTTTGACAATTGGTGCATTTCGACATACTTTCCATCCATAGAGTCTGTCCACCTATCAAGTTCGCAAAACAAACAATAAACAGCAACTAGATCAGAGAAACAAACATCTCCAAGAGCATACCCTCATAAATTAAATCAAGAACACAATCGGTAGTAAGAATCACCTTATTCAAGGCCACAATGAATTCTGTGTTCCTCATTCTCAAGAGATTGAGCGACTCTATTGTTTGCGGCTCTAAGCCGTGCATGATGTCAACAACTAAAATGGCAATATCACATAGCCCTGAACCCCGTGAACGAAGATTGGTGAAAGATTCATGACCAGGGGTATCAATAACCAGCAAACCAGGGACCTTCAGTTTTGCATCAGCCTTCAATTCCCTAGTTCTCTCTCTTATGTTCTCAGCAGGAAAGTATGTTGCGCCAATTTGTTGTGTGATACCCCCAGCCTCGCCTTCTTGAACATTGGTGCCTCTGATGCAATCCAGGAGCTTGGTTTTACCCGTATCGACATGACCCATAATACAACAAATTGGTGATCTGAGGTCTTCTTCAGGCTCTTCACTGGTGGCATCTGTAGCTGGGGCTCCATTTTTGGCACCAGCAGAGCGTTTCTTCCCACTTTGTTCTGTAAGGGCCTTACTTTTTTTACTTTGGACATCCTGAACCTTGCTCGCTTGTAAGGATGCAGGAGTTTTGGCTGCAACTGGAGCGGAAGCTGTAAGGGGAAACAAGAAACAGAGATCAACATTTAACAAGGTAGGGCATTTAGACTAGATAAAGGTTCATTTGGAAAACAGAGTAGCTGTATGAAACTTGCAGCGCGAGCAGCAGGTATGACAAGCTTCTTACATTTCTTCACAGTAGGTTCCGGCTCAGGATCAACCTCCTCATCGTCAAAAGCACCTTTCACATTGAGGCTGATATCATCCCAGCTCTTCGCATCCCATTCTTCATCATCATCGTCCTCTTCTTCCACTCCATTTTCCTTGGTTCCTTCAGCAACTTCCACTTTCTCTTCCATCTTCTCTGTTTCCACATCCTCAACCTTTTCTTCCACAGATCCAGCATCTAACAACACTTGCTCGACTTCTTCCTTAACTTTTATTTCACTGTCTTCCTCAGGATTAACAGATGCTGCACCATTTTCATGCTTCTGAGCTGGTTTTGTTTTCTTAGTTTTGTAAATAGGTCTCTTCGCTGGTGCTGCTTCTTTGTCCCCAGCAGCGAGGCCAAGGTTAGCATTATTAGCGAGAATTTGATTTCTCATTGCCTCTAACCGCCGCTGTTGCTCCTTCTGTTTCCCAGTCAACAGTTTTCCCTCTTGCTTCTTCTTCAGGAGTTTCTCTTTTTCCCTCTCCTTCTTCCTACGCTTAGCCTCCTCCGCTTGTCTTTCAAGCTCTTCTAGCCTGAGCCTTTCCTCCTCCTCCTTCCTCCTCTTCTCTTCCTCTTCCCTCGCCTTTTTTTCTTCAAGTTCTTTTCGCCTAGCAAGAGCTTCTTGCATCTCCCTGACATGCTTTGGGAGCTTCTTATCTGCTGCTTTGCCCTTGGCATCACCCTTTTTGGACTCACTTGTCACACCCTTTACCTCCGCTATCTTTTCTTCCTTAACCTCTGAAACAGCAGAGGCAGCTGCAGCAGCAGCCTTCTTTTCTTTCTCTTTCTCTTTCTTCTTTTTCTTCTTCTTGGCTGCAGCAGACTCTTCCTTTTCTTCTTCACCATCCTTCTCCTCTTTTCCACCCGTCTCAGCAACTGCTTCAGATTGAACCTGAACTTTCTCCTCCACAGGAGGCGGCGCAGAAGGCTTCGGAGCAGATGGCCCTTCTCCAAGTTCCGCAAGAATCTTATCCAAATCATCCTCTTCTTGTGCAGTCCTTCCACTCTTCTTTTTCTTCTTCTTATTCTTTGAAGTGTCTGCCACTTCTTCAACTGCCTTCACATCCTCTTTTTCCTCACTTTTAGTATTAGTTCCCTTTTTTTTAGAAGATTTCTTCTTTCCAGAGAAAGTTATAGCGGAAACATCATCATCATCATCCTTGTCCTCCACATTCTCATCTAGAATATCAAAACTAGCTGCTGCACTAAATACATTACCAGACTTCTTACTACCTTTGGAAGATTTTTTCTTCCCGGTAAACTCAACAATCAAAGCCTCATCTTCAAGATCATCATCTTTGTTTACAACCTCACCATCCTCCTCACCATCATCAATTGCGTCAAATGCAGAAGCACTAAACACACTACCACCACCCTTACTGCCTTTAAGAGAGGGCTTCTTCTTCTTCTTCCCAGTGAAATTCACAACTGATTCATCCTCTTCCTCACTATCTTTACCACCTGCTACCTCGGAGTTATCCTCGTTATTTTTATCCTCATCACCACCATCTTCGTCTCCATCTCCGAGTAGTCCGAAACTCGAGGTAGAGAATGTGCTCGTCCCTCCAGTTTTCTTACCTTGAGATTTCTTCTTCCCAGCAAACACAATGTCAGGGACCTCATCCTCACCTTCATCGTCCAATGATTTATCATCACTCTCCAGCTTAGCCTGTGAACTTTTCTTGTCTGCCTTCTTACCTTTCTTCTTGCCTGTAATGACTGGCTGTTCCTCCTGGACCTGAGATTCCTCAGACAACTCCGTGCCAATGGAGTACTCATCATCATCTATCACTAGAGTTTTCTTCTTTGATTTCCCTCCACCTCCCTGAGATACTGCGGGAGGATTATCCTCGTCGCGGGCTGCTGGCTTCTTTCGACCCATCTAGAGAATCTGAAGTAACCCCTTTCTTCTTGTAATGCTATTTTGCCGAATAGACACCTGCAGATGTGAGAGTGATAAACCAATCAATTCTCCTGCAATGAGAAGATTGCTGCAAACGGAGACCGAGAAAGAAGCGGACAAGATTATCAAAATTCAGGACACCCAGGTGGCGGTGGATCTATCTTTGACGGAACCAACAATTCACAGGCAATCAGATTAACACCCGGAATCCGAAGAATAAGTCATATCCGAAAACGCAAAAACCCTAGATTACTAGATTCAAGATATTGCTCTCCAGAATAAAGAAACGGATGTAATGCAAACAAATAAGCAAAGCAACCACGGAGACGAGTTTGAAATTAAACGCACCACAGAGGAAGGATGATAGAGAGAGCTGACTTCAGGGGACGGCAGCCAACTGCGACGAGAATCTGCGGCAAAGAACCCAAAATCGGAGGAAGTTGTTAAGGCGGAGCGAAGGGAATCAATACAAAGAGAAGATGCGGAAGGCAGAGAGAAAGAGCGTGTGCGTGTGTGTATCTGCGTTACTTGGCGTTTTTCTTAGGTTAAACTTATTACGGCACAGAGATTCGGGGGACGGGATTAGGACTTTCCGGTGAGGAAGAATAAAGAATTCGGATACTAGTGAATGAAAATTGGCGAAAGGTTCCGGCGACGGAGGAGAGGGGAAAGGCCTTACAGAAGACTGAAGCAGAGGCGGTGGGCAGAGGAAGATCGGAGCAAAACTCGACTGCCCTACCAGAGAATAGGTTGATGCGTCTTCCTGCGCAGAGCTCGGCGCTCGTTCTCCGTCGTCTGAAAGGGTGAAAGAAAATGAAAGACGGCTTCCTTCTGCAAGTATTTGCTCGAACTGGACTGTGAACTAGGGCTTGAAATTTTTTTCTTTTGCGTTTTTTTTTATCAGTTTTGCGAATTTCTTTTGTTTTTAATTTAATTTCTTGCCTGGCTGCTAACCGGTTTAGCTAGCATGGTTAGCTGGCCGAACCCGGTTGTAACACCGGACGCAAAGTTGGTATTTTTTTTTATCAAAACGATCGCTCGTATTACCAAGAAAACAGTCAGATACAAAGGAGTTCAAATGACCGAAAACAGCCACGCAACAAAATCGAACCCAACTAAAGAAGGGAACAAAGAAAGGGCTTTTCGTGCCACCAAATGGGCAACCCTATTACAACGCCTACCAACAAACTGGACAGAGAAATGCACAAAGGATTGACGAAGCACCATCATCTCCTCAAGAATCGTCCCTCCACGGGTATCTCCGGTCAATCCTGCCAAAATCTTGTCAATGACGACCTTAGCATCCCCCGCAAAAAGAATCGTTGTCAAGCCCCGTGCAAGACACCATCGCATCGCATCCCTGAAAGCCAACAGCTCCACAAGGAAAGTTGGTATGAATTATTTTTTTGGGTAAATGTAATATAATAGTCAAATATTTTTGGTTCAAACAAAATAATAATCAAAACCCCTTCTCGGCTCCTCCTCTTCCCATAATGGCTGTTGCCTCCCTTCTAATCGTCACTTATCACTTATGTCAAATCTGACTTGCTTTCGCGCTAGATCTAAGAAGTATTAGAAATACAAAGATCGTGTCCCTCCTTGAAGACTAATTCTTTCACCCCGCGCAAAACGTATTGCGGTTGCTTACCGTCGCCGGCGTCAAAGAGTAGGACGTCGCCGCCGCAGGAGAAGAAGGAAGATGAACCAGTTGGGGAATGTTCACGTCGTGAAGAAAAGTAAAGGAGGCGGTAGAGATTAATCGGAAACCCTCAAAGGAGTGAGGTTTCCAACTGTTTGTTATTTATACCGTTATATAGTGATTAACGACTTGTTTAAACTGAGGTTGTCACGTGTCTCAGCTTGACAGGTCGTTATCCTGAGTGTTTAACGTCTACAAAGCATAATAACAAAACGACAGCCTTTACAATAATAAAGTAAAGAAATAGGAAACGTTTCTTCTCTTCTCTGGTCTTCGAAACTTCTCAGCTTCAAGTTACTGATCTTCTGCTGCTGCACTTGTCTTCGAGCTTCCAGCTTGATCTTCACTCTTTATCAGCCCCCCACAAGCTAGAATGTATCTGTTTTCCACTCCTGATTTGTCAAGCAACTCCTTGATCCTGAACCTGTTCAAAGGCTTAGTAAACAAGTCTGCTAATTGATCAACAGCTTTGACATAGAACAGTTTAATCAAACCGGACTTCACTCTTTCCCTTGTTACATGCACATCTATCTCTATGTGCTTTGTCCTTTCGTGAAATACCAGATTATCAGCAATATGTATCGCCGATTTGTTATCACAAAACACTGAGATGGGTAAAGAGACCTCCACACTTAACTCTGCCATCAGAACCTTCAGCCATTGCAACTCACACACTAATGTAGCAAGTGCTATGTATTCTGCCTCAAAAGAAGATCGAGAAACTGTGGTTTGCTTCTTTGCCTTCCACGTGATCAAAGAACTTCCAAGGAATGTGCAATAGCCACTAACTGATCTCCTAGAATCTGGACAGCTAACCCAATCCGAGTCACTATAGAGACCCTGACGAGGTGTACCCTTTATGTACCTTAGTATTCTGTAGGCAGCTTGTAGGTGTTCTGTGTAAGGTTCTTGCTGAAACTGACTTAACTGCTGCATTGGAAAAGTTAAGTCAGGCCTGGTGGTAGTCAAGTAATGAAGACGACCAATTAATCGTCTATAAACTTCAGGGTCTTCAAGTGGCCTTCCCTGTTTAGCTCTTAGCTTCACCTTAGGATCCAAAGGTGACTTGAAACTCTTGGCATCAAGATATCATGTATCTCTCAACAGCTCTAAACAATACTTCCTCTGGCAAACAGAAATGCCATCACTGCTCCTGCTAATTTCAAGTCCAAGAAAGTATTTTAAACAACCCAGATCCTTGATCTTAAAGTTCTTGCTCAGGAAGCCTTTTACTTCTTCTATATCCTTCATGTCACTCCCACCAAGTATAATGTCATCGACATATACTAACAACACCACAATCCTTCTATGCACCCACTTAGTGAAGAGAGAGTAGTCTGAATGTGATTGGGAAAACCCATGCTTTAACAAAGAATTAGTTAATTTTGCAAACCATTGACGACTTGCCTGTTTCAAGCCATAAAGCGACTTTCTGAGTCTGCAAACTAGTATTTCCTTGCTGTTGGCTCTAGGATCTCCAGGAGGGAGCTCCATGTATACTTCCTCTTCTAAATTCCCATAGAGAAATGCGTTTGAAACATCCATTTGATCCAAAACCCAGTTCTTGCTTACTGCCACTGCCAGGAGAGCTTTGATGGAATTAATCTTGGCCACAGGTGAGTATGTGTCAAGAAAAACAATGCCATATACCTGAGTATACACTTTTGCTACTACTCTGGCCTTGAATCTTTCAATGTTGCCATCAGGTTTTGCTTGATTTTATATACTCATTTACTGCCAATAGCCTTCTTTCCTTATGGTAGTGGAACTACATCCCATGTATGGTTATCCTCCAAGGCTTGCCTTTCATCATTCATAGCTTGATTCCACCTATCATCTTGGGCAGCCTCCTTGTAAGTTGTTGGTTCAGTTTCTGCAACTATGCTTAAAGCATAGTGTTTGTCTGTTGGAGGTAGCAAATCATATCCCAAATGAGCTGTAATGGGATGTCTACTGATGGTTCCCACATAGTAATCATTCAACTTAGCAGGTAACTTTCCTCTATTCGCTCTAATAGGCCTTCCATCAAATTCTGCCTGAACTTTCAATTCTGGTGGTTCTTCTATATCTTCTTCTATATCAGAACTGGAATGTTGTGTGTGTGGCAGCACAGGGTTTGGAGTTTCAACTACCTCGGCAGGAGGAATGGGGTCACTATCACTGTCATCATCATCAGACTCAGGATCAGAAGGAGACACATTATGTGGCACAGATGCCCCCCTTGATCCCTAAGTGGTAGAAGGATGAGGAGGAGGACAAGGAACAAAAAATGGAGCTAAGGGTGGAGTCATAGCAGGAGGTGTTGTAGGAATAGAAGGATGGTCAGAAGAAGAGAAATTTGAAGGGAAGAATGTCCTCGTATAAAGAAACATGTCTTGAAATAAATACTCGATGATCATTGAGATCAAAGAGCTTGTAACCTTTGATGCCAGCAGGAAAACTGAGAAAAATGGCTTGTTTGGCTCGAAAATGGAACTTGGTTCTACCTTGTGTGAGGGTAGTGGCATAACATAAGCTGCCAAAAACTCTTAGAGAGGACAACAAAGGGGGTTTGTGGCACAAAAGCTCATAGGGAGATCAATTTTGGAGAACTGGAGAAGGCATTCTGTTGATCAAGTAAACAGAATGTAATACACAATCGCTCCAAAACTTTAAAGGAATGCCAGAATGGAATCTAAGAGCCCTAGCCACATTTAAAATATACTATTGCTTCCGTTCAACTCGGCCATTCTGTTCAGGAGTCTCAACACAAGAAGTCTGATGTTCAATGCCATCTAATCTGTAGAATTCAGTCATATGGAACTCCTTCCCTTGATCACTCCTTATCACTTTAACAGATTTGTTAAACTGCTTTTCAGCCAACTTGCAAAAACCTTCCAGTAAACCTCTTGTTTCAAATTTATGTTGCATAAGATATATCCAAACAGCACGAGTACAATCATCCACAATGGTCAAGAAATAGGAATAGCCATCATAAGATTTAGTAGATAAGGGGCCCCAGATGTCAACATGAATTAATGCAAAAGCCTCTGTGGCAGAAGTGTCCCTAATGGGAAAAGGAAGTTTCCTTTGTTTTGACAAATGACATATATCATAGTGATAAACAGGCTCACTAGTTACAGAGGAATCAGTTTTCTTAAGCAACATGAATCTATCACGACTAGGGTGCCCTAATCTCCAATGCCAAAGGTTAGTGGCGGATACATGGTGCTTTATGGTAGTAGTTTCGTATAGATAAACAAAATATAATTGGTAATCTGGGACACCCCTAAAATTTTAATAAACGATTATCTTACCCTCGATAGTGGTTTGCGTATGATTAAAAAAATATAAGTGGTACTCTGTGTTATTCAAATCTAGGACACTCTTATTATTAAACATCTTTTCCATTAGGTTATAACTCATTTGTTGTTCTATTTTAAACAGTATATAATGGTAAAAACGCGATTTTTTATCCCCAGGGGTACCCCTAATTTGAATTGATTTTATGGTTACACTGCAAGTGTTGAAACAGTCTTTTCAACTTTGAATTACATCATGAACAAGGTTAGAAATTGAATACGCGAACTAGTAGGATATATCGATTTGTTGAGCAGTGTAGACACCAAATCTATCTTATATTTTTTTCGAAATATGAAAACACATCGTGGATTTCTGTCAACATTTGTACTAATTGAATATTTTATTATTTATTTATGTATTATTTTATAATTAATTTAATTTAATTTTTGGAATAGGACACCCCTACAAAGAATTTCTGGATCCGCCATTGCCAAAGGTTGATGTCTTGTGGATCAAAATTGTAGGTAGTGGCTGCAAGGTGACTGGAAGAAGATGAATCAACAAGGGAGGATGAACAAGGAACAGGAACTAGGTGGTAGAGACCTCTAAGTTGTTTTGCCAAACCAATCCTCTGCTGGGTCAACTGGTCCTGGATATCACAAACAATGGAATGGAATTGTAAGGAAACTGTGAGATCTCTAGTCAGTTTACTTACAGAGACAAGATTGAAAGTGAAACTAGGAACCAGAAGGACATTATGCAAGTGCATACCAGTAGGGAGTTGGATTGTACCTATGTGACTTACTAGAACCTTAGAACGATTAGGTAAGTAAACATAGGTGTTGGTAACAGGAATGTGGTCAACAAAGTGGGAGAGACTACATGTGACATGA